TTAACGTATGCATTACGCAGTCCATTTTTCCCGTTGCCTGGAAGTCTGCACAGATTACTCCTATTTTCAAATCTGGTGATCCGACTGACGTTTCAAATTATCGGCCAATTTCAGTCCTTCCAATTTTTTCTAAGTTACTTGAGAAAACACTGTTTAACCGATTACTTCACCATTTAGAGGTTAATAATATGTTAAGCGATAACCAGAATGGTTTTCGTGCTTCAAGCTCAACCATGTCAACATTAATACTGTTCACTGAACAAATACGTACTGCTCTGAATAAAGGTCGAGTAACTGGCGCTGTATATATCGATTTCCGTAAAGCATTCGATACAGTCGATCGTTATACTCTTACAAAAACTGACTTCTTTTCAATTTTCATTTTCTGCAATTCAAATGTTTTGTTCCTATTTAACTGATAGGTGCCAGGTCGTGAAACATGGAAATTGTACATCCCAGTCACTACCCTGCTCTATGGGAGTCCCACAGGGTAGTATACTGGGTCCTTTGCTTTTTTTACTATACATAAATGACCTTCCCAAAATATTTAATCACTCCAATATTTTAATGTATGCTGATGATATTGTTCTTTTCTTATCTGGCTCAAATATCGAATCTTATCAACAGTCAGCTACAAGCAGATCTTCAGCAATTTCATTTTTGGCTACAAGAAAATCGCTTGACGATTAATAAAAAAAACAAAACTGTATGTATGTATTTTTCCTCACCTAGAAGACATTTCAATATATCAAATCCTCTTACTTTTTTAAACAAACCCCTTCCTATTAGTACTACTTATAAATATCTGGGAATTCCCTTAGACTCATTTAACTTATCTTGACCACGTGCAATCTTTATGTACCAAGCTGAAACAAAAAATGTATGTTTACTCCAAAATTAGATCAAATTTGACATTTTCTGTTTCAAACACGTATCTTCATGCCGTAATACTTACAACTATGTCATACTGTTTACCGGTCTGGTCTTTTAATGAAATCCTGAAACACATAGCTAGGCTCTACAATAGGGCCGACACAATTCATAACAAACTTCCTGGCTGGACTCATCACTGTACAGCTCTTTCTTCTACAAATACTCTAACTTTTCAAAATTATGTTCTACACAGCAATATTAAATTGTATTTTCAGGTTTTTCATGGTGTCAGTAATGTAGCTCTTTCTACTTTGATGCCTAAAACCAATAAAGTCCATCTCAACATTCCCACTTTTTAAGAAGACTCGTGTGCGTCATCTGTTGGACACCTTCTTTTGCAATCACCGTTAGGCGTCTGCCGTATTAACGCTGCCGTTCTTGTATTTTGTAATGTAGTACGTCTGTGTGTCTATTAATGTGATGTGGTGCTGGATAGCTGTGTGTTTTTTATGTTCAAATCCTTTGGTTATTACCAGGAAAGTGACAAAACACTATTTTAGTATGTCACGATTAGTTGAGCTTTTTCATTGGTTCATCTATGAAATGGAAACAAATTAAGATTCTTTATTATCTGGATACAACACTCAGTCATCCTCTAAGTTTAGGAGGCTTAATGAATAATGAATCTTAGTATAGTGGCAAAACCAAAAAAAAAAAAAAATAAATTCTGAGAATAGTTATGTTGGCACTGAAGGAACACTTCGAAAGACGTTCTGAAAGCCTCAAGATATATTTATCAAGACCACTTTAAATAATTACAAAAGGTTTGATTCTTTGAAAGCAACGAAAACAGAACTATTTGCACAGTGCATAAATATCTTCCATCATATCTGCTCTTTTGATGCACACTGGCTGCAAATAAATCTTTATTTTCCACAATGAGAAAGAAAATCCAGTCTTTGTTCTTCATGTACAAGAGCTTTTTTGTCCACAGCTGGAGTCAATATCGAGTCTGATCGTTCTGTTTGCCAAAAGGAGTAACGGCCTTTTAGCGATGGCTCGTAGCTGGCAGCCTCTTCACCTTGAACTGGATAGAAACTTGCGGCGCACTGAGCATGCCCAGAGGTTCCAGCTGTGGCACCTCAGCACAGAACAGAGCTCCCATTGTGTTCTGCAGAAACTCAGCACAGTGGTCCAGATTAAGTTCTGGTGCTGCTCAGACTCTGCAGGCACAAACATAAACAGTACAACAAACACCGCGGTGCAGCTGGGCCTCAGACTGCACGCCATTTATTCTATAAATCATAAGCGTTTCATAAATGTCTTTCACATAAACAACAAGACCGCAGTTCAACAAATTAAACACTTTTTAATTTATTTTCAGAAGAAAAGGATCTCCCACACGTGGGAGCAGCAGAATGTTCTCCTTTGTTATATCTGGTTTTACACCCTTCAGCAGGGATTGTAAATAAACCTTTCCAGGAAGCGAACATCTGCTTGGAGGAGTTTTGAGCCTTTTCCTGCAGAACTAACTCTGGATGCCGATTTGTTTCCACGTACAAACTGCTTATTTCAGAAACCGACAGCATTTTAGGTCAACTGTGACTTTAAACACTGACTTCTTTTGTCTTCTTTAACGACTCTTTGGTTTAGATGTTTCCACCTGCTCTAACCTAGCTGGACACTGCATGTTTCACAGAATTCAGTTCAGTTTATTCGTACAGCGCCAAGTCACAACAGAAGTCGTCTCAGGGCACTGAACAGGAACAATCATATATAAAAATAATAATTTAACAGTATTTATCTGAGAAGCAGACTAACTCCATCGCAGAACTCTCATCTTGAGCGAGCATGAAGGCGACAGTGGAAAGGAAAAACTCCCTTGTGAGGAAGAAACCTTTAGCAGAACCAGGCTCAGGACAAGAGGACCATCTGCTTCGACCGGCTGGGTTTGTTGGAACATAAATGGTTATAAATACGGTAATTTTAAAAATTCTAATCTGTTTGTTCAAACCAGTAGTTTCAATAATCTAAAATACACTTTTAACAGCATTCTTGTTTGTCTGTGTGTTCTTTATTAAACAACACATCAGCAGCAACATGCGTTTTAATTACACTAAAACAAATAATCTCAAAAAGGGGTTCAGTAACATTCAAATTACCTAAACTTCACACACTTTAATTAGTTAACAAGTAAAATATATTCTGACGTTATATCAACTTCACAAACTGTTTTACTTATTTAAATCAGCAACTGAAAGCAGTTTCCAGCTCTCAAATATGAGTCATATTTATGTGATTATGTTGACTTGTTTGCACTGGGTGCACTGGGTGCACTGGGTTAGTAACCTGAGTTTTTTATGTATTTAATCGCTTACACCATGAGCGAGCTGTACTGGTCCTCATGTTTGTAAAGATGTAAGAAATGTGATGGACTCAGTATCATTTGATTAAAGAACCAGGCTCTTCTCCTGAACTCTGAGGGAATCAGATGAATCAAAACTCTCCAAGGTGTTTTAGGAACCATTTACAACCCGATGAGCATCATCAGCTCATTTTATGAAATAAATAAATAGTTAAGTTAATTAAGTTAATTAATTAAATTAATTGAATTAAATTAATTTACTTAATTAATTTATCTTTCCCCAGACTCTGACAAAACAGTGATCATTAAATTAAAAACAACATTTAGAGGCTGAATCTCAGAAATAAACATTTACCTGTCTGCAAAAAAAAAAAAAAAAAAAAAAACCTGCTTAAAAAACTATCTGAGCACTGGTTGACCCACAATGTGAAGGTGCTGTTTATAAGACTGAGTTTGCTGTGGCTCCTCGGACTGATGAAGTCCTTTGGATGAAAGATGAAACATTTTAACACAAAGAGGACCTGCTTAAAAATAAACAATTCCAGAGTAACATTTTTCATTTGAATACAGGAAAAACTTTGTATATCTTGTCACCTACACTTCATAATATAAAGATTACAAGAAAGAATCTGGAGAAACATCTGAGCTCCAAAGACCGTGTTGTCAACATTTGATGCCTGATCTTCAGGCCCCCAGGGGCCACTGAATTAAAACAGGTCTGATTCAGTTCTGGACTTCACTGGCTCAGGATCACTTCTACAAATCTTGGTTTGTAAACACAGTTCACTGTGTCATCCACATACGCTGGTTAAAGCTCTATCATGCAAAGAAGATGCCATGTGAGAAAGACTTCCAGAAATGCTGCCATCTTTCCTGGGACAAAGCTGAACCGAGACAAAGAGTCAAACTGTTCTGTGGTCAGACAAATCAAATCCTGTAAATGTTTCTGGAAACCACAAAGTCAAGTCTGCTATACTAAAGAGGGAATGGCCATCCAGCACATTACCAGCGCTCAATTCAAAAGGCTGCCTCTCTGATGGTATGGAGGTGCATTGGTGCCTCTGGCATGGGCAGCTTACACATCTGGAAATGGGACATTTTCTCCAAAACCTCCAGAAACTGGTCTCCTCAGTTCCTAACCATTTACAGACGGTTGTTTCAGCAAGGAGACCTGGTTTTTATCATGTGCTGCCTGGAAGTTAGCCTAAAAATAAAGTCTTAAACTTAAACCTCGTCTCAGTTTGAGCAACAATAAACCCAGAGTCTCTATGGCAGATCTTTAAACGTTGCTCTTACAGAGCAGGCCTCTGAAAGATGAGAGTCAAATGTGGGAAACTGTCTCAGTTTGTGGGACAAGAGCTAAAAAATACAGCTCAGGGACAAACAGGACTCATGGTAACCCCAGATCTCAGCAAAAATCCTCCTTGGACCAGCTGAACTGAGGTCAGCTCAATAACCACTAGATGACGCTGTGGCTTTTTAAAGACCTCCACTGTAAATTGCATTTATGCAAAGTGCGTCTAATTGGTCCGTATTTAATTAATCAAAAGTTCACTTCAATAACTTTCATGAACCTTTCTCAAAATGCCACACTATTTCTTAAACACTTGGGAAAGTTTGATTTTATTTTCTGTTTCAGGGTAAGTGCAGCTGCGGTGCGGGTTCCACACCGGGCCAGCGGCGGGTGGGCGGGTCTGTGCGCTCGTTCCTGGGGGCGGAGCGGCCGTCGGCTCGGTCGGCGTGTCGGACGTCCTTCGGGCTCTCCCTCACACTCAGGAGAGGCTCGACCCGGAGAGAAAGTTACAAAACAGTGGCGTGGATGTGTTGCAGCACAGTTTATCTCTTAAAACTACTTTAAACGAACGCTTTTTGTTGTTTTAGTCCAACAGCAGAAGAAGAAAGGGACGGCGCGAGCCCGGTGAGTAAAACAAACAAACAACAACAAAAAACAGCCTGCGCGTGAGTTTTAACAGTTACGCGCGACATGACAGGCAGTTTATGAACATTTAGCTTTAAATAAGTTACTTCTTGAGGCGGGGAAGCGGTAAATCCCAACTTTTGGACCAGTTAAGTTAAATGTCTTCGGCTCGTTCCCACCTGTTGCCCTGAGCATCACGAACAGGTCAGACCGCTCGTTTTTATTTTATTTATTTAGTTTTTTCACTTTTAACGCGTCGTTCGTGGCCCTGAATGGCGTTGGGATTATTTTAATAGTGTTTACATATGTGTTTACAGCTGCTCAGGTGCCCACAACACACGAAGCTCAGATTCAGGTTACGTAACTTTACGTATTTCCACCACAGTGAGCGTAAATCTCCTCCTTTGCTACAGAATTAACGTTAACCCCTAACTGCTCGTATGTACGGTGGCCTGGAGGGGCCAAACACAACGACCTACAGACTAAAAAAACTCAAATTTGTTTGTTACTTTAAAACGTGTTTTGTGTTTATCCGTGTTCTTGTTTGTAAAATGTTTGTTTTTGGTTTCTGTGTGGTGTTTTCTGAAATCTACCGATCCATGCATCATTATTTCCTGAAGTTTTGTTGCTGCAGCTCATCACATCTGTGCAGATCATGTTGCATGTGTAAACGAACATCTGCACTCTTAAAACCTCTGGACTCATCAAAGTCTTGACATCCTAACGCTCAGTACTGACCTCCGTTCTGTAGCCGTGGGTCAGTGAAGATGGCTCCATAGGGAGATGTGGCTTTCTTATTGCCTGCTGCCTACGTCCAGGTAAATTTGGTGTGGTAGTACATGAGAGTGATCTCCAACTTACACGATCTTAGTTTACACTCTTGGAGAAAAGTGGCAGGTGATGTGCATTCCTTCAAGGAATGCTAGGCCTTTATTTTTCCATTGGAAGAGAAAATGTTGCACTTTTGTTCATATATCCAACACGTGCAAGACTAAGCATGAAAGGGTTTATTGTGTCTCCCATAGACTTAATTCCACCTTGACAGCACCCCTGAACAGGACACTTTACCCTGAGTAATTTGGCAAATTGAAACTTACTGACTATTGAAAATCAAGTGGAAGTGAATCGTTCTTATGATGGTAAACATCAGCTAAAATCTGTTTTGTTTGCAATGTTTTATGATTGACAACAACAACAAATAATAATTATGTTGTTTGTTTTAACTAAAATGTCTCGGCGGGATGGGAAGCAACCTCATTTTCAGTGAGTGTTGAGTCGGTTGTTCAGGCAGCCATTTACAAATAGTAAATGGACTGTATTTATATAGCACCTTTCTATCTTATCGAGATACTCGAAGTGCTTTACACAACAATCTGTGCCCTCATTTACCCATTCATACAGCTCTCTACTATACAAAGCTAATTGAACAAGTCATTCTAAAGAGACTAATCGGTGCTTTATTACATTCACACATCAGAGGCAATGAGGGGTTCAGTGTGTTGCCCAGGGACACTTCAACATGTGACTGCTGGTGGATTCGAACCCCCAACTCTTGCACTGGAAGACGACTGCTCTAACCACCCAGCCACAGCCGCCCATTTACAAAGTAATCAACCACAAGATGGAAAATGTTGAATCTTTCCAGCTAAACTTTATTAGGGGAATTCCTGATCGGCTCTGCCAAGCAAAATAACTGGACTTGAATGTATGTTTTTGAGTAATACTTGAGTAAAACAAAATATGCAACAATTTAATCCTATCAAGCTTTCTGATTAGATATTGCGAAGGCAAAGAGCACATGAAAATGTGTTAATCTCTTTAGGGTACATGCTGTTTTTCCAAGATACAACTCTACAAAGGACTATTTCACTTGCCGGGCGTCTGTCATGACTTATCTCATGTTGATGTGAAATATCCTGCCTTTGCTCTTGTTGTCGGTCTTATCAGCGTCCTTCCTCTGGGCCCATCTTGTTCCATCCTTGTATTGTAATATCAGGTAGAGCGGGACACTGACAGCATGGCAAACAGGAATCTGTTCAAGTCCCATTGTCTGCAGAACACATGGTGACTGCTAATGGCTGTTTGTAATGGCCTCCTGAAAATAAAGGTGTCGGAGAATAACAGCAGCTTACTTGGTTATTTTTATTTAAGTTTTAAATTTTATTCCCAGCTGCTTGTTCTACAAAAAACACAAAAAATCAGTTTGATATAAGTGTTGAGACTAATGCCGTATTTGCTGGCTTTAACTTTGTTGCAATTTCCCAAAAGAAGATTCTGCAAATTTCACTTAAAAGCATTGTACTATCTTGGCACATAAAGTTTTTTTTTTTTTTTTTACAATTCAGTGATTCAGAGATTCTTTATTGTCATTCATGTGGTACGTGTGGTGGAACGAAATTATGTACACAGGGTCCCAGTTACATCCAACAATAAAATGTAAAAGAAAAACAGTAATAAGATATGAACTAAGAAAAACATCAGCTAAATAATACACTAAGCACTAACTGCATAAAAACAATACGCCGAACAGCAGCACGAACATGAGTCTGCGTGAGCAGATGAGCACGAATGAACACAGCAACATGAAACAGATCAGCAGCAACATGAAACAGATCAGCAGCAACATGAAACAGATCAGCAGCAACATGATGTGATGTTTCACAGTGATTATTCTGGTTAGAGATTCATGAGTCTAACAGCCTCAGGGTAGAAGCTGTTCCTCAGTCTAGTGGTTCTACACTTAATGCTCCTCAGTTGATGGAAACGTGAGCCCTCCTGAGCAGAGATGACAGCCATGAGATTATTCTCAGAGGATTGCACTACAAAGCAAGCATCACAGCTAAACCAGCTGAGCTAAAAGTCAGATTTGTTAGTGTTAGGTCTGTCGCGATAAACAAATCAATTAATCGCATGATTGATAATGAAAATTATTGACCTCATTTTCATTTATCAGCTTTATTGTTTCTTCGTTTCTCTTTCTGAAGACGCTGGATGACAACAGGCTCAGCTCCGGTGCTCTTCACTGACACCTCCCTTTCGCTTTTCTTTTTAAAATCTGTTTTAACCGTCCAAAATCGCATTTTTGGATTGTTAAACGCAGCTAAGCTGAGAAGCTAAGCTACGAGCTAAGCTAACAGGCCGACCTCGGGGGGAAAAAACCTCCGTCCTGTCGAAGCTCCAAAATTCACGGTTGTAACCTGTGCCTTTGTGTAAAACGTTGTTTTTCTCTGCAAAAAGAAGCTGAGAATTTTACTGATTTTTTTTTTAAATTAAAAGTTTTGTGTGAAAAATGCTAAAGAGCTCAAACCACACTGAGCATCCGCCATTTTGAGAAGCGAATAAAGGAAGGAGAGACAGCCCATGTCACGTCAAGGGGCCTCCCTCCCATTTTTCTTAAAGAGACACTGCTGCTCCCTCACTATCCATCCTTCGGTTCAACCAGTCTTTTACTGCCATCAAAAAAGGTACTACACACAAAAATTAACCAACATTTCTTCTTAAATTTGACAGTAACTAATTATTGTCAAATTTCAAACAATGTTATCGTTTATCGCAATAATTTATGAGACAATTAATCGCCCAGCAAAATTTGTTATCGTGACAGGTCTAGTTAGTGTCATTATGTGGCTCAGTTTGAAGCTGGTTCGGTCATTAATGTAACATTTACTGAACTCACCCCGCTCCTCTGCAGTTTATGTTCTGGGTTTCGACATAAATTGTAAAAAACATGACGTGTCAACTGTTTATTTTCCTGATTCCACATTGGAAATGGGATTGAAACAACATTTATTCATTATTTTAAATTGATGAGGTTGAATGAACTGAATATATTTTTATATTTTGTCTGCTAAACCTCAGACAACAAATCACAGTAAAAGGGATTTGCGCTTAATGGGACGAAGTCAGAGCTAAATAAACTTCTTGAGAAAGAGTTATTAAGTTTAATTGTGTAAAATGTCTCGTTGTGCTTGAACAGCCTGAAGCAGAACGTCCTGGTTGACAAAAAAAAGATCATAAATAGCCCTGAAGTACCCGTGATCTCCGAGGAGTATTAGGCTTTGTCAAGCCAAACAAAGCCCGGCAGACTTGCTGCAGGATATAACCATTTAGTTTAAAATGTTAATTATTAGGTTTAGTCTATAGATGTTTGTTATGTGCAGCAAATAGTAATTTTGTTATGACGTACATGTTAGTCATCGACCTGTTAGGCTCTTACCTTGTCATTTCTGCTGTTGATTCACATCTTTAGATATAACGATGTCTGAGATCTTACAGGGAACACACGAGGGATTTTTTTTTTTTGTCTCGTGATTCGTTGTTCCAGAGCAGGTTCTGAATGCAAACAAACAGAATGAAAGCGGAAGTCATAGTTGGATGCAGTGAAGAGTTAAATTTTTATTTTATTTTCTGAGTGGAAAATATGTGCTGTCATTATTGAGTTACGCGATGTCTCATCTCTGACTAATCCATCTGCTCTAAATGTTTGCTTGCATAGGTGGGCCACCAGATCCAGGAAGAGGGATTTATTTTCCTTCCACATTCCTGATGGAGTCCTACAGAGTGACTGGCCTTCCTAACAGTGGACCACAGCGGGCCTACTCCCAGCAGGCTCGATCTTCAAGGTCCCAAAGTAATGGAGCTGGTTCATACGGCCTCAGTATTCGAGTCCAGGGCATAGATGGACACCCATATGTAGTTCTGAACAACCAGGACAGGGCAGCTCAGTCCTACGTTGACCCTGACGGCAATGGATACGTTGACACAGACGGCTCCTTTATTGAGAACTACCAGGAGTATGATTTCAGAGGAGACAAAGAAGTTGACCCGTTCATGGAGTACAGGACGCAGAAGGCCATGCGCTATGCTGGTCCTCAGAACGGCGTTACTGAACCACAAGGAAAGGATCCATCCACACTTCTAAATTTTCAGAAGCACCCCGAGCTCCTACAGCCGTACGATCCAGAGACCAATGCCTTGAACCTTGAAGGTTTCCACAGCCTCCCTTCGAGGCCTCTGCCTCAGCCTGAGACTGGGAACAAATACCAGAATTACTCCTCTAAGTCTGCTGTACAGGTCTCCAAATCTGCTGTACAGGACTCCAAATCTGCTGTACAGGTCTCCAAATCTGCTGTACAGGACTCCAAATCTGCAGTACAGGACTCCAGCCGTGGCAGGTCATCAAGCTTGGATCGGAGCAGAGTTCCTGGGCAGCAAGAGAAAAGGCAGCCTTCACCCCTGAGCCGGAGAACAGCTGACACTGAGCCGTCTCCTCCTCAGTCTCATGTGGCTCAGCCTCAGACAAGGCCACAGTCCCAGCAGGGTCAGCCACAGTTTAAACCTTATCTCACAAGTTTAAATCCAACTCAGTCCAAACCGACCTCCAAAACTCAACCCGTGCCTGCGTCCCAGCCTCAGCCTGCCACCGTGTCGAGTACCTCGACTGAGCTGAGCAAGACCCCCACTTCACTGAGCAGCACCAACTCCAGCCTCGAGCGTACCCACCATGAGCCCGATGTTCTTCCCCTACATCGAAGTGACTCCAGTGAGCCAGTTCTCCAGTCCTCCTCCCGCAGCCGCCATGCCTCCTTGTCATCCACAAACAGAGCTTCGATGGATGAACAAATGGACGCTCTGTATGCAGACACCATAAACCGCCACGAGAATCGTCGCTACATTCCCTTCAAGCCCGGATCAGGCAGAGACATCGACACGGGTTCCAGTCTCGGTGTTGACGAGCTCATTGACAAGTTCGATGGTAAAAATAGCGGCAGTCAGCGTCGGGGCAGGGCGGGGCGAAGAAACAGGATTAATCCAGATGACAGAAAACGCTCTCGCAGCGTGGACAGTGCGCTTGGCTTGAGAAAAGACTCGAGCTACATGGACGAGTCCGATCAATGTCGAGGCACGTCAATGGAGCACGTCCTGCTGCCGTCACAGCTGCGCATGCAGAGAACAGCCGGTGGTCAGAACTCCTGGTCTACGGCTGTAGATGGTAAAGGAGGGGCTTCTTTTCGTGCCACCAGTGCTCCAGGATCCCCCCAAAGCAGCATCTCTAAGAGCATTGGCTCCCTGCATGGTCACAGAAAGCCACAAGCCCGCCCCCCTTTACCGTCTTTTCAGAGCAACGAGAGTGATAAAATCCCTTCTGCAGCTGTGAAGGTTTCAACATCGTCACTGTCAACATCGTTGTCCAAGCCGTCTTCAGCAGCAGACAAAAAGCCCGATGCTGAGGCAGACGTTCAGGTAAAACACCAAACACTCCATCCATCCATCCATCCATCCATGCATCCATCCATGCATCCATCCATCCACCCACCCTTCCTTCCTTCCATCCATCCATGCATCCATCCATGCATCCATCCACCCTTCCTTCCTTCCTTCCTTCCTTCCTTCCTTCCTTCCTTCCTTCCT